ATACAGGGGGATAAAAACCTTACGTAGGTAAAAAACTTAAGTAAAGTGCCTTCTTAGGAATGAACTCTGTCTTTTTGTACTTCGTTAACACAATGAAAGCACTGAATATTTATTCACTGATACTTTAATTATATCTTTCTTGTAATGGATATTTTGAACCATAATATATAAAATCATCCTATTCATTTTTATTTATTGTAGGTATTTGAAGAAAGAAGAGCTCTGCTTGGAAAATGGGTAACACTTTAAAATATCCCAATTTTTATATTGTAATATCATATGGCCTAAAAAATTCAGCTTAGACTTAAGATAGTGATTGTTCATTTCCTGAGAAGTGTGTCTGGTGCCTTCTGTATGTATCAGGGTTTGGTCAGGAAAAATAGACATCATACAAGTTATTTTAATAGACATAATTTAATAAAAGGAATTAGCTAAGTAGGTATTCTCTAACTGCCATCGAGTTGATTCGACTCATAGTGACCCCTCCTTGGGTTTCCAAGGCAGTATCACTATGGAAGTAGATTGCCCAACCTTCCTTCCGAGGAGTGGCTGGGGGGTTTGAACCTCTAACCTGGTTAGCAGTCAAATGCCAAAGGCACTATGCTACTAGAGCTCCTAAGCAGATATTAGAGAATGGAAAAGACAAAAAAGGAAACATTTTTTATTAAAAGTATCTGCACAGTGAGAGGTAGACACAATGTGAAAAATATTCAATGACAGATAACCTAAAAGTATTTTATATTTGGCCATAGAATGTAATTTTTTTCACATATCTGCATATGATTCTGCCTGATGTTCATATCTATAAAGTAACAGATAGAGAATTGAATAGCTCTTCTATTTCATTATTCCATGCTACTGCTTTTTTTCTTTTTTCTCAACTCCTCCCTGCCCTTCAATTCCTGCTGGAAGGATAGTTGCCTCTCAAATCAACAGAAAACACCAGCAGAAAAAATATTTTAGTTTAAAAGAAAGTGTCTCAAACTTTCTCTCAGCTTCTATATAGTTGACAGAAATAATAGTAACACTGTAATGTAGGTATTTAAAGAAAGAAGAGCTCTGCTTGGAAAATGGGTAACAATTTAAAATATCCCAATTTTTATGTTATAATATCATATAGCCTAAAAAATTCAGCTTAGACTTAAGTAATGTAGATGACATCACTTTTAACTTGGTGGAAACAGCCATAATCAGAATTAAATTCAAAGGAGAACAGGGAAAATATTTTGCAAAGTGAATGATAGGTAGATTAATACAAAAAAAAAAAAAAAA